TATTTCCGGGGGCAGTTCATTCCACAGGGCTGAGGCTCCCACAGAGAAGGCCCTCTCCCTGGGTGTCGCCAAATAAATGAATGTAGCATACAATGTGCAATGGAGAAGAGCCTTCAACAATAGTCAGTACTGTAATGTTGGTAGGAAATTGGGCAAGTTATTCTAGATATAATTAATTTCCTCCCCAATGTTGGCTGCCTATTATTGGGAATACATCTGGAAAGCAATAGATTAGGAAAAAATGTTTTACTATAAAGGTCAAAGTAGTATTTTTAATCATGCCAATTGTTCCACAGCCTAGATATACTAAGAAATGTAGATATAAGGAGACCTTTGCAATATTGATTGTTGAATAAAGTAATTGCTTTATTTCAGTGTGAGTTTGTATAATGTGGGAACACAGAACTCTTCATAAACTAAATAAAAACATAGCTCTGGGCTCCAAATGAAAAAGAAACAGCCATTAGTAACCTGCAACTGCCAGCATTTTTTTTCTAATGAAATATGACTTTGTAAAGCAATTTATCATGGCTCGATTAAGACAAAAATTGTGCATTGCCTGCTGATTTCTCTGTTGCCTATATTTCAGCCAATTTGAAGTATATGGTTGCTTTAGAATCCTTAAAGCATTTTTACAATCAGTAATAAGGATCGTATCTCTAGAAACAATTATTTTTCTACCTTGTTTTCATTAAGTCAATACATTTTTTCTACTAAATTATTAAGTTGCTCCCTTTTTATTTCTAAGAAAACTGTTTCAAATTCAATCAACTAAGATTGGATTTACTATTCTTATAGGGAATGTTGTGCATTAAGAGATACCTTATAAATGGATAGTTTCCTACAACTGAAAAGGAATAGACAAGTCTATGGGTCTGCCAATTTTGTTGGCAAAATATTTAGATAGAAGGCTTGTAATTTGTAGAAAATGGACCTTTACTAGATGTAAAAAACAAACTGAAAACTTCCTTCCCCTCAAGTTTACAGATTTCCATTGTTATCAACAATAGGGAAACAGCACTTCTGTCCCAACCACTCAGCCATAGCTTCAGAAGGAATGGGTACCACTGGTCTAATCTGACAAGATAAAGAATTATGTTCCAGTTTTTTTATAAATACTTTTTATATTCAATATTCAATCCTTTACAATGCATATTTCTTCCCCTTTATAGTAGGTAGTACTACCCAAGTCCACTACCATTTTGGAGGCTTATAGTGCGAGATTTGGTTTTTCTTATTTCAGGGTGGATATATATTTATATGGTGCACTGATTTATTTTACCTCAGCTTGTTACCAAGTTATTGAAATTTAGTGATTTACTATTAGGTTGATCCTCTTCCGTGATCCCATTCTGTGATGTGCTGCTTTATGCTGATTTCTTGTACTTATTGTGCACTTTTGTGCATTCAAAATATAAACAGGATACATAGTTGGGAGATAAATGCTCTAGAAATAAAATATACAGTAAGTACAAAAATTATGATGTGATTTGACAACTTGACATTGTGTTTGTACATGTACTATGGTGCATGATCAGTGGTGGTATTCAGCCGGTTCTATCTGGTTCCGGTGAACCGATAGCGATGGCTGCAGGAGGCTCCGCCCACCCTCCTGGACATCATCATGTCCCATTTTTGATGCTCTGCACATGCGTGGAAGGTCCTGCACATGCGCGGAGGTGGTGCGTGCGTTCACATTTGCGAACCGGTAGTGAAGATAAGTGAATACCACCCCTGTGGATGATGGAAAAGACAAAGCTGAGACATGTTGACCTGGAAAATGCTTTATAGTATTTACTTAGAAAAATTGAAGACAAAGGATAACACCGAGGCTGCCCTTCTTTTAAAAACCCTTCATGTGAGAAGAAACCCTTTTGTTTGTCTCCTTGGTATTTGATTTTTCCTGGTTTCAGTGGTCTCTACCTATCATCCAGCTACTTTCCTTTATCTTTTCATTATCCAGACCTCCTGAAAGTGAATTTCCTCAAATTAATCACACCAAGTTGTTTATTAAAACCGGTTTATTTATCCATATATTATTCCTTAAATCACCCTTAGCTCTCTTGTCAAGGAAATACAAAAACATTACTTCAATATTTGCAATGACTTTTACAAGACTCACCTGTCACTGCTATGGAATATGAGCACTATTTTATATGTCTGCAAAAGGAACAATCACAATTTTTCTGCATAAAAATATGGTTTTAATATTTCTGAGGTAAATCTTATGCAGACAATACAAGACATTTTGGGTGCTCTACATCACAGTGATAAAAACAGAAAGGGCATTACCTGAAAGTGCTACAAATATATTTCCTTTGTAGAATAAATATTATATAAATCTTAGACTGAGAGAAAATTGAAGATAGTTTATTTATTGGTTCAATTTAGTTAGCTTGCTTTGTTTTCACATTTCAAAAGCTATCCCACCATTAGCAGTAGATATTAGAATTCTAGAATCCAATCAAATATCGAACATAAAGTCACCAACAACTTTTTAAAATCACCAATTCATAATGTTCGTTAATTGATAAATATTTCAAGAGTGATTCTACTATTTTTTTCAACACTGAGTAACAAAAAAGCTGGTAGACAATTACCGATTTCCATTTTTTTTTTATTTACACACTCATATGTTAACATCATTTGCAGACGATTTACAGAACAATAGGCAACCAAGCAAGTTTTTTATAATTAAATTTTTATCAAGTAGTTTAGGAAAATAAAAAAGATGCATAAAAAGGGAAAAAGAGGTTAAAAAAGAAAGTAATAAAGCACAAAATGGATAAACATAATTATGATTAGTTTATATTAAATATTAATTAAAATGTTAATATTTCATTTAGCTTTTTGTTATTGAATGTGTACAATATTGGTTTAAAAATTACAAAATCATTGTTAAAATCCAAATAATACATGAATATCAACAGCAATAGTAGCATAGTGTAAATCATAAAATGAGATAAAGTATTGCATTAATTTCTATCTGAGCAATTAAAGGCATCAAGTTAGTAAGAACACAAATTTCAGATATTGTGCAAGTGTGCATATAATGATATAACCCCAAAATGGTTTCCAGGTAGAATTAAATTCTATGTCAGGTTACTTTTGAAATACAAAATTATTTTGAACAGTAAGGCAACTGGTTTTTGGATTTGCTTATTTTTATTCTGTAATTCCATCTGTATATTTTGAATAAGGTTGTCTGTTATTTTGAATAAGGTTGTCCGTTGAAATCTAAGTCTACATTTTAAAATTGGTCATGATGGAAATGCTGCATAATAGTCTTTCCTATATTGAATTTAATTACAATCCAGTGAAGATATGTTAATGTTCCGTTTGAAACACATCTGGCAATCAGTAGAAACATCTGTAAATTAGTAAATTAGCTGATAATTATACTAAACAATTTCCACTAAAATGTGCATTACTGCCAATTGAATTTCTGTACAGAGCTGTGCAACAAATTTAGTAGTCTCTTCAATTCTGTAACTTAATTTATTTTGGTGTTTTAAACAATATATCCTGGAATGAAACTGAACCACCACAAATGAGCACATATTTATAGAAGTCATCAACATCTTTTAACAGGTATTGTGAGAACATGAATAGGATGTCAAGAAGGAGTGGAAAACCACACTCTCTAAATGACCCATGAGCCTATCATCGGATTGAGTCAGGGGTCTCCTACTGTGGAATGTTTAATGTCACATATGTTTAATGTCTGAAACATAGTAAATAATGCTTAAGTCACATGTTTAAATTGTTAACAAGGTGCAGGGCAATAAAAGTAGGCAATAAAAAATAAAACCTTTTGTATGTGTGTGCAGACAGATTAGAAAGTCTGCATATTTCCTTTCCAGTGTCTGTGTGAAGCCTTTCCCTATTTCATTTTGAGGTGCTTGGGAACAAGACAGTATTGCCTGAAAGTTCTTAGAGGTTGGATGCTCTCCATCTACTGCACTGTGATGAATAATAAAGGAACTTGTTATGAAGCGGTTGAGGCCTGCAGTGTGTTGGCTGGAAAATCTGAAAGCATAGCAATCAAATTCTCCCTGATATTTCTCATGCCCAAGAAATATTACAGTGGGTCAAAAAAAATTGGAACTTTTCTTCTTAAGCCTACCTGAAAAAACGTTTTCAGTTCTTTAGCCAATAATTGCAAGAAAAAAATGGAGCCTATTAAACCACCCTCTAGTTAAATCTGGCAGGAAAGGTCGGAGAAAAATGAGGAAAATGAAACAGCAATTATACCTACAATTCATAAATGGCTAAGGAAATCAAAGGATGATAAAAGTGCTGGGATGATCTACTGCATAGGAGAAAAGGCTTTGGAAATATACAACCTCCACAATGTCTATGCAGATCCATCAAGCAAGACACAAGTAGAAGATTCTGCTGGATATAAAATGCATGGAGAGCCCAAGAGAATCCCTGTTTTTGAATAATTCTTGCTTTGGCAACTTTCTCATATGAAATAGTAAGTATGGGCTGGTTTGCCACAGTTCTCAGAGAAAAATCTGAACATTATAAATTTGGAGCCGTTACAGAGCTAAGCTGAGAGAAAGCACTTTTTATGCATCTTGATTAGCTTTTCCTTTTCCTTCTCAAGAGCTGGTTTATATGTATAGTTTTATTGTATTTTATTCTATGTTCTGTTAATTACTTTGCTAACAAGAGACATTGTAGTCAAGTACCATGTCTACAAAAGCCAAAACTTAGAAGTTGTGCTTGTGTGTTTTAATAAAATTGGTTAGTCTGACAAGATGCTATCAGACTCCTCATTATTGATAAGAAGTTTATTGATAAAAAGTATTTTATTTAATTAATACCACAAAAGAGATAAGATCATTTTCTTAATTATTGTGATATGTACAATATTTTTTGGGGTGGGGGTGGGGGTTGAATCTGTATATTGAATAACATCCAAATGTAACATTCAGGTTACATTTAACTTTGCCAAATCAGTAAATGCAAATGTTGTTTTTTTTTTAAAAAAAAAATCTGTAGATAAGAGTCAAATCTGATTAACATTCTAATTTGATGGTCTAATAATATAAATTATCACTGAAGCGTTATTGGCAGGAATCTTCACAGGTTGCCTACTTTAATGGCCCCCAACTAGTTTTACCTAGGCTTGCTTATTACAAAGAATTGGAACTGTGAGAGAACAATCTGAAGCTTTTTACAACAGAATATACAAATCCAAGAACCACCATCACATTTTGATCCAGAAGTAATGACATGTACAGTATAATTTTGTTTAGTATTCTTTTTACTACTTATTTAAAGCCACTGCCAGAATATTAAAAATGGTTAAGATTCTAGCTTTACCTATATAAGACAATATATAGGCCTTTTCAGGATTACAGGATTAGGGCCTAAAATTCTAAATTAATAGTGATAAATATGTCATACATTCAGGTTGGCTCTGAGCATAAATAACAATTAGCATGGCAAGAAAACAAGAAGAGAGTACACAAACACATACACACGGGCATACATATGCTGGCACTCTTTTTGCATTGAATTCTCACAGTCTAGTCTGAAGTTAGAGAATGCCTTCATTTCTGGAATACTTTGCTGGTGCCTTTGGACAAATGCACTTCTTTGCTAGGGAAACAAACAGGAAGCACAATAAACATATATACAAACTGTATTTCTGTCAAAGAGTTTAGGAGAGCCTACAAGGATTTTTTAAATTACCCCAATAATGTTTATGAAGGCAGTACAAATACTGTGAGACCTCATCATTAACCCTACTGAAATAAACTGGCTGAACAGGGCTTAGAACCATAGTTTTTTAAAATCCAGAAACACTTGATTTCCTTCATTTTGTCCAATATCCTCCAAATGGCCTAGGATTAGCAGGCCACCTGAAAATCTAGAGAATTATGGCCTCCCTATGGATAAGGCAGAGGGTGCTGAATTAACTATTTAGAGCAATGGCTTCATGCATTTTCAAATACACATTTCCACCTACCCTCAACAAAATGATCAACAAAATAATTCTGGATGAAACACAAAATATGATTAACTAATCAGGCTGGACCAAATCATGCATACTGTAGGAAAACCATGATTAAGATTCCTGCATTTTGTTTTATTAAAAGGATAGCAATAGCAATAGCACTTAGATTTATATACTGCTTCATAGTGCTTTACAGCCCTCTCTAAGCGGTTTACAGATTTAGCATATTGCCCCAACAACCTGGGTCCTCATTTTACCGACCTTGGATGGATGGAAGGCTGAGTCAACCTTGAGCCTGTGGTGAGATTTGATCTGCCAAACTGCTGGCAGCCTGTGATCAGCAGAAGTAGCCTGCAGTACTGTACTCTAACCACTGCGCCACTGTGGCGCAGTGATACCTATAAGACTGATTTGAAAGTTTTCTGAGATGAGAGAGCACTTCCATATCAGAATTGTTGCCATTTCCCTAATCCTTCCAAACCAATTTAAAGCCAATCTTCTTCACTTGAAGCACAAGTACATCACAAACAAATAGCGCTTCCTTCAGCTAGCCAACAGGAATAAAGATGAAGTTATTTGATGAATGTCATGGTCACTGAGCCAAGGCACAATCTGGAATAATACCTCATGCAAAAATAAAGTGAAAGAAATTTCCTAATGGCTATCTTCCTTGTAGCTATGACAGAACGCTGTGCTAGATAAAGTTTTTTGTTTAAAAGAAAAGAAAAGAGTGGAATTGATACCACCATCTGTCTCCTGCATGTAAAAGCCAATTGGGAAATAGATCATGGATAAGCTTCACAGAGCCACAAAATGTGAACAAAAATATTAGGTATGTTTCAAAGAAATTGCAACAGCTTCAGCTTTCAGCTCTCATAACCAATTCAGCTCTCAAAAGCAACCAACTCTGGATGATCAGATAAGTCCAGAGATGGCACTGAACTAATGCAAAATTCTCATGAAGAAATGATCCCGGGTGAATGGTGTTTAAGACTTCAACTCATGCCATTCATCTGGTATAATTTTATTATAACTCTAAAATAATGCAAAATCAGGAAGAACATTTTTGTACTGTATTTCCCATCCCCAGAGCATTTCCTTCATATATAAGAAAATCCTGTGTGATACCTAATATAAAAACAAAATAATACAACTGCCTTCTCCGTGGGCTGCCTTGTAGATGAGTAAGAATTATGGCAACTGAAGTTTACCATATCTAGATTAGAGAAATATTTAAGTCCTTTCACAGATTCCCTCACTGCATCTACTTTAGTCCTAATTTGAATGAATCAAGCAGATAATAAGGGAAGGAAGAAAATATTCTGCCATTATCTTGGAAATAGTGAATCAATGCTATTCAGGGGATGGTTGGCTAGTTAGTCTGCTAGTATTCCATAACAAAATCAAAAACATCTTGAGAGGGCGAATGATATAGTCTAGGATAGCACTAGATAGAAGATATATTCCCAATGTATCACCATGCCGATGTTTTATTGCTACAAAATGGAACAGAAATGAAGCAAATCAAGATTCAGGGTCTTCTTTTCCTGAACTAGTTTTTAGTTCTCACAGAAACGGATACAAAAAGTTAGTTTCTACTCTTCCACATATCACCAAAGGCACTTTTCCATAATGGATCTGATACAGTCCTGTTTCAATTGGTTCCAGTATAACCTTCCCTAGCATGATTCTGATTTGCATGGTCAATGCTGTATTAAGCTAGGAAATAAGGAAACTGTAATCTAAAGCATCTGGAGGCCACTCAGTCGAGGAAGGTTAAGGAAAGCAAGAGATTGAAATTGCACAACATTTAACATCTGACTATAAAGCAGCATATATCATTTTTGGCTAGGAACTGAAAAACAGACCGGGAACACATTTTTCTATTATAAAAAGTGCTTGTCATTTTTAAAATTCTAAATCCTTATAGAACAATCTATACAGTTGTGTTCCTTTCTTTGAAAAATCCAAGCTCAGATATGAAGTCATGCGACTAGAAAAGTAATCTTCTGTCCACATGGATCAGTGTTTAGTCACACTGCTTCCCTCTAAAGGCTAAATCTGCCTGTCTCCGCTGAATCACAACTGTGTGATGAAGACAGCTGGGCTTGAATGTTATTTTTTTAAAATATGCTGTATAATGTTGATAAAATGCAACATCATCCCCCTAAGGTTAGCATATAAACAGAAAACAATCCTGTTAAGCATAGATTACATGGCTATTGTACTTTGCATCCCAGTATAATTAAAGAAGGTGACAAGGGCCTTGATTCTCTTTTGTAAGGCTCATTTGCTATAAATTAACTTTAATAAAATGAAGATCATGGTTTTTTGTAAAAAAGTCAGAAAGTTAAGCTAGACCATGAAGATAAGATCAAGCATCTTTAAGTAGCTAGGGATGGTTTTCCAAGTCATGGGAAAGTGTAATGCCCTGCTTCCTTCCTTCCTATCTATCTATCTATCTATCTATCTATCTATCTATCTATCTATCATCTATCTATCATCTATCTGTCTGTCTGTCTGTCTGCCGCCAACTCAGAACAACAGAATAACAGAGTTGGAAGGGACATTGGAGGTTTTCTAATCTAACTCTCAGCTCAAGCAGGAGCCCCTATATCATTTCAGACATATGGTTGTTTAATCTCTTCATTAAAATACTAGCAATAGAACATATTGGCAATTGCATTTTTTAAAAATATAACTAGAGGAATCAAATATGTTCCTACAGTAATTACACTATAAGAGTCAAAGTGCTGATATCAACATTATCAAACTGGTGAAAATCAAGTTGCACTATTGAAACACAAGAACTGCAGCCTTCATGCAAGCATGCAGTATCAAGCACATCCAAAAGGGATGAAGCTTATGATACAATGCAACTTTTGACATTATCCTCTCCCCGCAACATCCCTCCCACTGTATCATTTTTAGGATGATCATGCCATTTTTTTCTGGGTCAAAAGCAAATCTCAGCTATACAGTTAATACATAGAAAGAGCACTGTACCTAACTGCTTGCAGAACTCAGTTGAACCTGTTTCATATATCTTCTTTCAACTTGAAGAATTTCTTCTAACTTCTGTGCCTGAAAAACAACAACACAAATCCAGTTTCTCAGACGAACTGGAATAAATCAGATCTTTGTAAGTATCAGCGCCTCATAAACAGACTAAAATATTTAGAAAAAGTAGCCAAGTAGCTAGGCCAGAGCTGGGGAACTTGATAAGAATAGTAACTCAGCAAACACTGGAAAGCTTTTTTGACTCTATACTAGGGTATCTCAATTTGATCAAATTCCATGAGAGACCATGGGCAAAACAAACTCTTAGATGGACCCAATTTTCTGTTATTGGAGCTTGGCTTCTTGATCAGGAATTCCAAGATTTTTGGGGTTTCATTAACAGGTTTACACAGTAAAAACTCGGCTCCAGAGAGACTGCATGAACTCATTTACATTCCAGCTCTGATCACTAATTCCTGACACGCAAGATCTGAGAAATGATAATTCCTTCAAAATGCCCCAGTTGTATCAGTTATTAGTTATTCAGAAATAGAACTTAAAGCCTGATGTTTTAAAATCCCAGTAATCGATAGTAGTTGTGCACTGGCTCTGGTACACAGGCAATAAAAACACATTTTTCATCACACATGCACAGAAAAAAATGAAAATATTTCACAGCGGTTTTCTAATATTATTTGAATTTGATGTGAGTAAGCATGATTTCTTTCTTACATCAAGAAGATCTTGACCACGGGTGTCAAACTCGTGGCGTCACATTGCCATCATGTAACATTTCGCAACGTTTTCCCTTTAGCGGAGCTGTGGTGGGCGTGGTCTGCACGTGATGCATCCGGCCCGCTGGCCGCCAGTTTAACATTCCTGAATTCTTGACTGAAGTAATTTCTTTCTTAATAGTCCTGAGTCAGGATTAATATTTTTAGTATGACAACTCTTCTGATATTAATAATTATTTTCTTTCTATAAATTGTACCTTGATCCTGTTTTTCAAATAGCTCACTCTAAAGAAATTTGATCTAACTTTCCACACATTAGCACAAGTGCAATGCAATATGTATATTATCTTTGAGAAAATCTGGAGAATAAATGTAGAGACAGAGAGGAAGATTTCCAAATCTTCAAAAGGGAGAAAAAAAGATTCCAATGAAGTAGAGTCTAATCAATCCAACATCAATAAGTGAGAAGATTCTAAAGAAGATTGTAAAGAGATTGATCTGTAAACACTTGGAAAATAATGTAACAAAAACATCAGCATGGAGTTGTGAATAATAAATTGTGCTACACCAAATTTATCTCATTAATTGATTGGATAATGTCCCTAATACTGTAGAATATGTCCATGCTGTAGATCAGTGGTGGGTTGCTCCTGGTTTGGACTGGTGCGCAAGAACCGGTAATAAAACCAGCGGGAGGCTCCGCCCACTGACCTGGATGTCATCATAGGTGATTTGCGCATACGAACTGGTAGTAAAGGTAAGTAGAACCCATCCCTGCTGTAGATATACTTTAATTTCAACCAAGTATTTCACAAGATATTCTATGACATTCTTATTACTAAACATTGGTTGGATTACATGACAATTAAACATAACTGACTTGAAAATTAATGGTTCTTAATCAAACTCGAATGAGTTATTCAGTCCAAGATAGTTTTAAGTCATGTACACTGGAAAGATTTATTTGGATGACGTGGTAGAAGAAAAGCTGATTAGATTTATTCATCACAAAAATATGTGGATGATAACATCGAAAACCAGAAATAAAATTGAAAATATTCTTGATAGTTAGAGCTACATGCCTGTTTGTTTCAATTTGTCATTGAGAAGTGAGAATAAAATTTAACAGAGACAAATGCAAGGTATTTCATGTAAGAAACAGAAATCAATTGCACAAGTACATGATGGAAGATATCAGGTTTGGCAGTAGTATTTTAAAAAGTTCTTAGAATTGTAGTTCAGTTGCAAACTATAAATGAGTTAGCGGTATAATGTGGTTGCGAAAAAGGAAAATGCATTTTCAGAAAACATCAACAGAAATACAGTTTCCAAATTATGGGAAGCAATAATTCCTCTTGAGCTGTCATCTCCCCTGTAATATTTCCAGCTTGACTACCATTGTTTAAGAAGTCACACAAACAGATCTGTTCATCATTGCCCAGAGTGCAGAACACAAAACAATGAATTCATATTATTGAAAGACAGATTACGATTGGATGTTTAGGAAAGATTTCTTAAAAATAAGAGCTATCCAGCTGTTATCCTGAAAAGTGGTGGATTTCTCTTCACAATCTAAAAAAGGCTAGCCAGCCATTTGTCAGGAATGTTATTTGGATTTGAATTCCTGTACAGCAGGGGCTGAACTTCTCCAATAATATTGAACTGCAAACTGGGGCATACAAAACTTTTGCCAGACCAATTCTTGAATACAGCTCATCTGTCTGGAACCCGCACTGCATATCGGACATTAATACAATCGAATGAGTTCAGAGATATTTCACGAGAAGAGTCCTCCACTTCTCTGCTCACAACAATATACCTTATGCCACCAGACTTGAAATTTTGGGCTTAGACAACTTACAATTACACTGTCTTAGGTCTGACCTAAGTGTAGTACATAAAATCATCTGCTACAATGTCCTAACTGTCAATGAATACTTCAGCTTCAACCAAAACAATACAAGAGCACACAATAGAGACAAACTGATGGTAAACCGATCCAAACTTGATTGCAGAAAATACAACTTCAGTAACAGTTGTCAATGCCTGGAATGCACTACCAGACTCTGGTTTCTTCCCCAAACCCCCAAAACTTTAACATTATACTGTCTACTGTAGACCTCACCCCATTCCTAGGAGGTCTTTAAGGGGCATGTTTAAGCGCACCAGTGTGCCTACCGTCCCTGTCCTAATGTTTCCTTTTATTTGTATCCATTTTATGTATTCATAATTATGTTTACACTTGTATCTGTTATCAAATACATGCTTGACGAAATAAATAAAATAAATAAAACCTTCATCTAATTGACTCCTTCCAAATCTACGAGTCAATAATTCTGCAACAAATGATACAATTCATAAAGTGGAAAATAAATAGTTTTAAACAATTACACCAAATTACATATAATAGTAATAAAATTAATCAATGCATTTTTTTCAGAGTGACAATTACTGTTTAGGACCCAGAGAAAGAAGAGCATCAAAGAAGAAAATTCCCATAATCTCTATTCAGAAATAATTTCTTTTTCTATGAGACTTAGGTAAATATGTATGTGATTGTACCTTTAAGCTAGGAACAGAAAGTTTGTTTATAAAAATATTGAGGAAAAAGTTCCAAGTAAATTTTACTACTTTTTAGTTCATAAATAATCATATATAATTTGTTTTATTAGATATGAATAGAATTCTGGCAAATGCAGAATAAACTATAGCAATAAAGCCCTGAAAAGAGTTCTCAAATAATTAATCTTACAAACAAAACAAACATATATACAGAAGTTAATAAATCAAGGTGGATGATACATTTTCTAGTTCTTAGTTAACTCTTATGTTGTTCCTATTATAAAACAGAATTCTCCAATTTGAGAAAAAATAATTAACATCAGATTATGGATTTTTTCTTATATTCCCAAATTCAGATAACAAAGTCTTTTACCTAAGCTACATAGGTGTAATAATAATAACAAGATAACAGGATTGAGAAGGTTTTAGGATGGTTTTCTGCTTAGCAACTTTCAACAGCTTCCTATTAGGAGTCCTTAATAAAAGAGAATAAGAAAGATATTGTAGTTTGTTCTTATGCTTCCTGCCAAAAAAAGACTGAGGTATTTGCTAATTAAAACCAAGAATCACTGCCCTTAAGATCCATAAAATATATACTGCACCTAAAAGCTGATTCTCTTCTGTTCTCTTCTGCATCTAATTTGGTGTTAGGAAATGTTATCTTCTTTGTACAGTCTAAATTTTTCATCTTCTTTGTACAGTCTAAAAAAAAACAATTATTTAATTCCTTGCAGCCTAGTTTAAGATACCTACCATTGGCAACAAAATCAAAAATCTATTTTTATAAGTAAATTCTGGCTTCTTTCATAAAATATAATTTATCACAATGTAGAATATTGTGAAATACAAAGTTCTGGGAATTTTCCATAATTCAATAATTTAAACAAGCTTTAGTTGCAATAAAGCAAAAGCCATGAGGTCAAAGAAACTGCCTGCAGAGTTCAGAGACAGGATTATTGCAAGACACAGATCTGGGGAAGGCTTTTTTTTGCGCACCAAAGGTTTCTAAGAGCATAGTGACCTCCATAATTCTGAAATGGAAGAAATTTGGTGCAACCAGGACTCTTTCAAGAGCTGGTCACTGAGGAGTGGGATTCAGCTGGTTCGCACCAGTTTGGGCAAACCGGATGTTAATTTTAATCTGGCTCACCGAACCGGTTGTTCCAAGGACTGGCTGACCCCGTCCACCCTGCCCCGCCCCTCCCAGGAGTCTCCACGCAGCCCGTTTTGGATGCCAGGTAAGTGCAGGCGCACGCAGAGGCTCTGGGAGGACAAAAAGCAGGCCTACTGGAAGTCCAGAAACGGGCCTGTTTCCGGCCTCCAGAAGGCCTCCGGTGCCCAGGGGAGGTCGTTTTCCCATTTCCGGCCTCCGGAGAGTGTGCGAAGCGAACCGGTTGTTACAACTGCTGAATCCCAACACTGTGGTCACCCAATCAAACTGAGCAATCAGGGGAGAAAGGCCAGGCCTTAGTAAGAGAAGTGACCAAGAACCCGATGGTCACTCTTTCTGAGCTCCAGAGATCCTGTGTGAAGATGGGACAGTGCTCCAGAAGGACAACGATCATTGCAGTCTTCTACCGATCTGGGCTTTATAGCAGAATGGCTAGAAGGAAGCCTCTCCTCAGTGTAGAACATATGAAAGCCCACTTAAAGTTTCCAAAAAAGCACCTGAAGAACTCTCAGACTGTGAGGAACAAACTCTAAGCGGGCTTTCACATGAAGGACAGCATCAGCAAAACAGTGGTTCCAACCTCAACAGTCCAGAAAGAAACCAAGGTTGATGGTACCGAAAGCAGTTGACAGATCCAGGATGGCCAGAATGGTTGTCCCACCCCATCCCAAACACTTCAAAGGACATCTACAAGCATGACCAATGCCATTTCAGTGCTGTCCCCCCACTCTGAACCCAGACTGAAAAGTGTCCAGATAATCTGCTTCATCTGCTTCAAAAGAGAAATTTAGACATTGGATGAAAATTATCTCACACCATTGGATCCATATTCTCCTGCCAGATATTTCTGGAAATTTCTAAATGATTGCTCTTGCATTTAAATTGGTTCCCTGCAGTAATCTTAGGCAATATGATGCCCTCCAGATGTACTGGGACTGCAACTCCCATCCTGGCTGGCAATTCTGAGACTTGCAATCCCTGCAATATCTAAAACATGACAGACTGAGAAGGTATTCTACAATTAATTACAAGAAGCATATTTGTTGCTTCATTCCATCTGCTTTGGGGAGGCTCAGATGAACTGTATTTAATTCAGGGAAGCTCCCTGGCTATAAAATGGTCTCTCTCTGGAGGTGCATTTAGTTCCTACTCTACCAATATTTAGAAAAATAGTAAAGACAGTCTATTTTACTAAGCTTTTAATTGTTGATTGATTTTTAATTTTACTGAAATTTAATGTTTGTTGTGCAAGTTGCATCTTCGTTTGGAATTTTGCAAGTTTCTTTGGGTGCTTTCATAAACGAAAATGTGAGTGTTGAAACCCTTTAAGATCCAGATGAAATGGAAAATGGATTACCACTGAATGATTTTAATTGAAGAAACAGGGAGACAGAACAGGGAGCTCTTACCTGCTGCTTCTAAGCTCAAGGTTAAGCCTGTATCCAATTTGTTGCGTGGCTTCTTGCTGATAAACAGGTAACAGAGGACACACACAGTGATGAGAAAAGCCAGCAAGACCATTGCTGCAACCGACAAGCCAATAAGTGCTCCAATACTAGAAAAGAAAGAGCAAAGAACTAATGAATTTAAGGACATTGTCAAATCCTTTGAAAAGCATCATTGCTGCATGTATTTAATGGAGAAAGACAGCTGTTTAGGCACTATGGGGACATATAGATTTTCCTTGATTGTTCTCAATAAAAACTGAATTATGTTATAACAATTCACCAAAGGCCTTCTCTGACTGGATTAGACTTGTAGAGTAAACTTCGTCTAAGATGCTGCTTTTATTGTATTTCCTTGAATTACTGCATTTGATGTTGCTCTTGGCTAAACATGTATAAATCAAGACACATTCCTTTGAAACTCATGGAATTAAATCCAGGTAAAATCAATTTAAGTGAAGTCCTTCTTAAATCTTTGTCTTCTGTCAAACAGATAATTGGATAAAGGGAGGAAATGTCTGTACACTCTTGAAGCATCTCATAGGCAAAGGATTCCCTTTTGCACGGACATCCTTAAACTTTTCAAAGAATCAATACTAAAATAAAGCAAGATAAATCAATCGAATAGAAAGCAGCATTGTTCAATAAGTCTAGGGAGACTTTTTAACATTGATTTGAAGTACCACAAGTATGACAAAGTGCTGAATATCTTTTATGTGTTTTCTTTATAAATCCCAGTGATGTAGTTGGTAGCATTCTGAGCAGGAGTGAAGCTAAGAATAATTTACATCACTTCACCAATGGATTTATAATCAAATGAAAATCTGAATGCAAAATCTCATCATCTCTATTGCATTCATAGGTCAAACTAGTAAAGGTGGTGGAATTGTACATATCTTAAGTCCCTATTTATTCTGTTTGGATATAAATTTACTTACTGACAGTTTACTTACTATACCAAAAGAAATAGGCAAGGGAGGAAGAATACAACCCATCCACTTTTATTTTGTTGCTCTCAAGAGCAATCCATGCTTGGGAGGAAAACGTATAAACATAGCACAAAAAAAACCCATAGAAATGATGAAAAGCAGGGAACACAGGTTTTACGTCATGCTTCTTTTTTGTATGGGATAGATCCATACAAAATCAGGGCAGATAAATCATATGACACACAAGATTACTTCACAAGTCTAGTTTGTATCTGAGTAAGTTATATATCGTTCCACTGGGTAGTTTCCATTCGCCAAAATTAAAAACCACAGAGAAAATAGAGAACCTTGCAGACTAAAATGGCAAAAAACCAACTTTGCCAACCTTGGTCCCTTAGCAATATCTACTGGATTTGCCCAACTTATTAAAAACCTCCTATATAAAATGTGTCCCAACTGTCATCTCAGGCAGATAATCCAGCAATATATCAAGAACTACAGAAAATGTGAACATTTTGCTGACACAATCTAAGGCAAAATTTTCCACTTTATGCGGACATATTTGTCATAAATAGTTTCTTAAAAATATCACATAAAACTGGAATTGGTATGTGATCCCAAAATTAAATAACAATAAATATTATTTGTTTATACATATTATAAATGACCAGAACCCTAAGAGGTTGCCATGTCTCATAAGATTGTGATCTTCCTATCAGAAATCTTGTGCAATTTAGGCAAGAATGTCAAACCTTCATGAGATACAGCAACTTCATAACCTTTTTACTATTAAATATATATTTAAAGAATCTAATGTCTAAATAAAGGATTATTGGCATTCTTTCCATTGATCACCATCTTCAAATCGCAGATTGGGAATTACTGTTCTAAGATACCAATGGGTCAAACAATGGAAAAACAAGGCCAGATTATTTACTTCCTTCATTACAGGACAATATGCAGGTGAATGAAATTACTTGGGTAAAATTTATGTCAGATAATGGCGGGTAGAAAGGCTGCAACTTCTTAGACCAGAGAAATCAGCTGATCCACTAAAAAAAATTGCCTAGGTCTGTCCCATTGAGCAACTTACTAAAGACTTCTTATACCCTTCCAGGCAAAAGCTAAATCTTCTGCTTAATCAGGATAGTCCATCAGCCCCTAATCCTTTTAATCTTTGCCTTGGAATCGGTTTCCTGAGATCAGCTTGCCCAATTTCTCTTTGATTTTTGGGTAACTTTGTTTTAGCACTAGACTAAAGCATCTGCCAGTGACCTTGCAAGATTGTACACTGTTTTTATGCTGATCATAAAATGCCAAAGACTAAAGCTCACAGGGATACTGTTGGGTTGCTCATGAAGTTGTTACATAATGGATTCAAAGAAAGAAATTCTACAGTCAGGTAGTCATGGAATCCTTGGTTAGAATTCTTCATAAACTCTGCCTTTCCTCATTAAATATGATAGTTGTTCCAGTTTTCCTTCTTCTCATGAGATTTTCAGCATGCCAAATTCAAAACATACAAAAATGTGACACAGTTGACTTAACCCTGATGTCTCAGTCTTCAGCCTCTCACTGAATTAATACTGAAGAAAGGTCCAGGGTGATCTGCATTCATAGATATTTGTAGTCATGCTTTGCAAATTTGCCTGCAATTAGTACACAATAGCTTTTTATTACCTGTCGGGTTTCTTCCAGCTATCCAATGTAATGGAATGATTCTAATTCATTCTGTAAATCTAGTAAGATTATTGTCAATGACCAGGAAATTGGGGAGGTGGGGGGGAGAGAGGAATGGAACAGACAGGAGCATTCTGATTTATGGTTCAACCGCCTCACTGGGAAACCACTGAGATTTTTTTCCTGGAATGTTTTTTTCCATACCCCCTGCTAGATTCAGCCCATTTTCAAACTCAGTCATGCTCCATTCTGATTTTATCCTGCTCATAAACAGTATCGTCTTACCAGATTTCTTTCCAATCTTATCCTAGGGAGAAAAGAAAGGGCTCCTTAATTACATTAGGTGCAGTTACCAGAATCTTGGGAAGGGTGTCATAAAGAACAAATTGTCCCAATCCATTGCTTTAGTGTTGTTGCCTTTCTTACAATAGAATTCCTGCTTGAGAGCAACACACCCTCAGTTCTTCAATTCCCAAATCATTTTCACACCTGCTGATTGAGAAATAAAAAAGGAACAAAAATCACTGCCTCATCTTGCTAGCAATGCAGTGAAAAAAAAATGCCCTCATCTACGTCATACAAAAAGGAAAAGAAAACAGAGGGAAACTAAACAGCAACATCGGCTGAAGAAAAGGGAATTTGTGTAAAAAAAATCTTGCCCATTTCACCTTCCTTGCTTCATTTGAATGACTAAGAGATACAAGCACCCTTAATCTGCATTTCTTTTTAGGAGTTTTGCTGGCTGAGGAATTCTGGAAGTTGAAATCCACAACTCCCTGCCTGCTTGATTTCAGGCAGGGAGATTCAGTTGTTTGCTGATGCAATGGATTGCAGGGATTACAGCAACGCACTGCGACCAGCAGCTAAGGTAAGCAAGCTGAGGGGGGGGGCGGAGGGGAAGGATTTTTGCTACTGATTAGCAGGCAACTCATTTAAAAGAAAAAAGTTTTTTTTCTTTTACATGGCTCTGGCGATCCAAGCTGAGTTGCCTTATAATTCAACCCTCTGCTCAGGCAGGAAGCCTTACAGTATACCGTTTCAGACAAATGGTTGTCCAATTTCTTCTTAACTTCCAATGTTGGAGCATTCACAACTTCTGGAGGCAAGTTGTTCCACTGGTTAAGTTTTCTAACAGTCAGGAAATTTCTCCTTAGTTCTAAGTTGCTTCTCTCCTTGATTGGCCTCCATCCATTGCTTCTTGTCCTGCCCTCAGGTGCTTTGGAGAATAGCTTGACTCCCTCTTCTTTTGTGGCAATCCCTGAGATATTGGAACACTGCTATCACGTCACCCCTTCTTTTCATTAAACTAGATGTATCCAATTCCAGCAATTGTTCTTTATATTTTAGCCTTCAGTCCCCTAATCACCTTTATTGCTCTTCTCTGCACTATTTCTAAAGTCTCAACATCTTTTTTTACATTGTGGCAACCAAAACTGGATGCAGAATACTGCATCCAGTTTTGTTACCTGCCAGCAGGAAAGCATCCATTTAATTACTCTTATTAATTAATATTCTTTTAAAGAAACTTGCCCATTTTACTCCTCTTTGCTTCACCTGAATGTCTAAGAGAAAGATACAAAGCTCCTTTAATCAGGGGTGGGATTCTACCGGTTCGGACCGGTTCGCATGAACCGGTAGGTCCAACGATCAGCTAGGAGCAAACCGGTTCTCCCCGATGATCTGCTCGGCCCGCCCACCTGCCCCAGCACTTTACTTACCTTTATCTTCTCAGCTGATTGGCACAGCAGAGTGGATTGCCACACCTCAGTTGTGTTACTCCCAAGTGGTAACAGAGAATTTTAGTATTTGTAAAATTGTGTGCACGCACAAAGCGCGCGATCACAGAACCGGTTGTTAAACAGGCAGCATCCCACCACTGCCCTTAATCCCCGAGGCATCTGTCAAAATTCATGAAAGTTTTGCAAAAGTATTTTGTTCAAATGAATTCAAGTGATCTTGACTATCAATTGATCTCCCAATATTCTGATATGGCCAGATAGCACTTTTCCAAACGAGTGATCAAGAAAAAATATAAAGGCCATGAGTGAAATTACAGGTTCATGGATCTGATCCAGAATGATGCAAATTTCTGTGGAAGCAAACAGTTTTTCTATTTCCTAGAATTTTTCTAGTAAAATGGACCAAAATTTCAAAAACAAAGCTGAACATTTCCATCTGTAAACAGCACAGAACATGACTATAGAAAGGAGTTGATACATATTGTTGAGGAGTTAATGTGTACGAAAAAGGCAATCAAGATAAAAAAAAAAAAGTAAAGTGAGAACTGTGGAAAAAGAAACCAAAATGGAGAAAGCAGAGACTTCTGTTGACATAGTTAGGCTTCTGTATAAATCACAGAATGCTTTAGAGGGAGAACTGGGTTGAAGGTTTACTTAAGACTTAATAAAAGGTGTTTATATGAAGGAAAAGAGAGGCTACTGTTATTCAAAACCATTTGAGCCACATTTATTCAAGAATCTTGCTTTAGGAGTCTATATTCTGTGTTGTTGACTGATACACCCTCAAGACAAGTAAAAAGCTTGGTTCAGAATTGTTCAGTAAAGATAAATCTTTCAACAATATTTGGGCAAACCAATGGGAATAAGGAAATGGCCTGATGTTAGAAAGAAAGGCTTTTTGGGAAAATTAATATTCATCATTTAAACTCAGCAAAAATATAATGTATTATGAACTTTTGGGAGGTGAAAGAGTTATGGCTCTCTCTAATTACACACTGCATAGAGTATTAATTCTTTTTACCAAGTATACAGTATCTCCAATGTAAAATTAAATTTAATTAGATTAGAATTATGAGTTGTAAAAATACAAGTGATGTGTTTCCTACACAGGTTTTTTTTTTTCTTTTTCTTTAGTCATCTGGAAGAATTGTTTTGAAAAAACATAATAAAAGCACTTTTTATCTGCTTTAGATAAAACCAATGACATTTAATAAACTGATCTGTAGAAATTGTGGGCAACTGAGTTATAACAAAGAATTGGATTATTTATTTTTCCCCATTTTTGCCTTTGATTCTATCATTTTAATATACATATGTACTCTTAAAGGCCTCTAAGTTAATAGTTCACCATCAGAAAATTGTCCAATGAAAAGTAGAGACTCTCCTCTCTTTAAGTGAAATGATCACACTTTCCCAGATAACAGGCTAGGGAAGAACAGAGTGCCTGATTCTTTTATAGTGTAACTGAAACACTAAAATGAAACTTCTGATCAAACATGTTGGCTTGCTGATTTGCTGTGCTGCACTTCTTGACTTTAATCAAGCCATTTGCAAGGTTGCAAGATGACTGTGTTGGTTAGTCCAAACTGGTCACAAACAATATATACACAGCTGCTAGCAAACTCCCACACTGACAGTATGTTTGATAGCATCAGCTTGTACTCATATCAATTTTATGAACTGGATTAATTTACAAAAACTAAGCAAATTTAATTTATAGAGAAAATCCATGAGTTGGTTGACTTTTTAATATTTTTTGATGAAATATATCTGGCAAACCCAAGGGTGGGCTTCAAAAATTTTAGCAAGGGGTTCTCTGCCCGGTTGCTGGGTGGGTGTGGCCATGGTGGGCATGACCTAGTCAGGCTCCTGCACCACAGCAGCCTCCTGGGGGGCATTTTTGCCCTCCCCAGGCTCTGGAGGCTTTTCTTGAGCCTCCGGGAGGGCAAAAACAGTCTCCCCAGGCTCCGAAGGCCCGTTTTTGGCCTTCCTGAACTTCCGATAGGCCCGTTTTTCGCACTCCCCAAGCCTCTGTGCATGCCCTGCACTTACCTGCATCCAAAATGGGCTGCGTGGGGACTCCTGGGAAGGGCGGGGTGGGATGAGTGGGGCCAGCCAGGGGTGGGATTTGGGGGTTCTGCGAACTGCACAGAATCTTAGCTAGAGGTTCTTCTGAACCCCTGCAAATCTCCAGCAGTCACTCCTGGGCAAACCCCTATAAGAGTGTCTTAAGAAATTTGCTGTATTGTATATCTTCATAACTATCAAGTTTGCAGGAAAATACTATCTCTCTTGATTGGAAAAACAAAAAGGCAAATTTGCATTTCTTGTGTTCTATGATAGGTGACAGGGTGCTTCGGTTGTTCTGAATCTCATCTGGTCACTTACCAAATGACACCAGACTTACTCTCAGATTGAGCTAAATCAAATATCTTGTTTCTAGAATACTGGAGCAAGTCCTGAAATTAGGCAGTTTTCCATATACTATAATTAGCACAGTCTTCTAAATAACTATTCATGACATTGCCTAGAGCAGTGATGGCAAACCTTTTCAGCACCGAGTGCCAAAACGGTTGCACGGAAACATTGCGCATTCACACAGGCTTGTCGGGGCCGCACTCCGGAAAAGCCGAATTTTCAGGTTCTGGCACGCATGCGCACCCGATGATCAGCCGGCCGGCACGTATGTGCAGGCCGGTTTCCAGCACTGCCACACGTGTGAATGGATTGCACTCTAGAAAAGCCAAACTTCTGGGTTCTGGCGCGCATGAGCACCCAACAATCAGCTGGCTGGTGTGCATGAGCACACTGGTTTTCAGCATTGCTGTGCACGTGAAGGACAGCTGACCGCGCACACGCATGTGTGCCAGAAACCCAGAAGACAAACAGGCAAGGCAGCGTGTGCCAGGCGACATGGCTTCACGTGCCACTTTGGGCATGCGTGCCATAGGTTCGCCATCACAGGCCTAGAGTAATTATGAATCACCTTTACATGTTCAAGCACAGAAGAACCAAAAAGTATAGTATTTTCAACAGAAGAGAGTACATATAGATCAGATATGAACTGTTGGAATCCTGTGTGCTCTCTGAGCTTGTTTGTTTGCTTATAAACATTTCATTACCATACCAAGTAACATTATCAATGTTAGCATTGATGATATTACCTAGTTGGGTAATGAAATGTCTGCAAGCAAATAACTAAGCTCAGAGAGCTCCAAGCATTCCACTACAATATTGGTCTAACCAATCCTCCAAATGGAATGGTTTCACATCAGAATTATCTCTTCTATGGTCTGTGATTATTACTGATTTCCTTAGTTATCTTAGTAACATTCATGTTTCATTGGCTTTTTAAAACTTACATTTAAACTCTAGGGGAAAAGGATAATTATTCTACATTAAATTATCTCCTAGGTTTCGTTATGTTATGCTGTTGCAAATACTTCTCACTTCACCATTTCTTTCTGAGAACTGTCTGCATCCTGAGACTGTAAAAGGAAAACTTACCTATTTCAAGTAACTTCCAAACAACCATGGCAATCAGATCAGAAAGCCTAATCCCTCTCCAGGCACCATAATGTGTTACATTATGACTTGTTATCATCTGCAATTAGAATTCTCATTAGTGAGTGGGGATGATGGGAATCCAACCCGTCTAGAAAGGCAAGCCAAATTGAGCTCAGGAATAGGGAAGACTGGATTACCAAGGTTCCATATTGCAATGGTCACATCCCTTATATTTGTTGCTTTGCACAGTAACATTAGATCTGTCGCCCTCTGTTCCTTCTGCAACTGAGATCAGCAACTCCCACAGTTGCATTGGTGGTAGAGCGCAGCACCCTCTGTTGTCCACTCTAGACAGCAAGGTAATCTCTCCCTCCTGAGCATGTGCAGAGTGCATAACAATAGCATCTTTATTCCCCCATGGTTCAGATCCTGGTCTTAAAGGAGCAGCAACCATCACTCCCCCACCCACCCAACTCGTCCCAACTGATGTACCTTCTGGGTTAGGACAAGCCGGAAAACGCTCTCCCTATTCTCACCTGAGCCACCACATGTAGTTGTGCTCGTAAGGGAAAAAGCTGTTAGGGTCGTCGCAACAATACTTGATATCCTGGAAGCCGCAGCAATAGATCGCGTCAGCCTCGCCGTCTTCCCGCGGACAGCTGAAGGAGCCCACCAGGACTTTATCGGCGTTCACGTAGCTGCTGCAATCGGCGCTCATGGTGCGCTGCCCGCCCGGGAGTCACCGAGGCTCGTACGGAGTTCTTCGATGCTTGGCTAGACTTTTCGGAGACGAGAAACGGCTGGAAGCGAAGCCAGAGCCGAAGCAGCGGAGAAATCGCCTCGACGACCGGTGCTCTGACGGCTTTGCTTTCACCTCCGCCAGCTGGCTCTCTCCGAAAGAGGATCCTTGCAGCTTCTCGCGACGCCCCGCCTTCTGGCCCAGAGCCCCGCCCCTCCATCTCAATCTTGCCCGCCGGCCGCCACTTCAGTCTATATATGCCGAAAGAGAACCGGGTGACGTCCAACGGCGCCTTTTCTGTTTCCCGTGCTTAAAAAAAAAAAAAAAATACAGTCCGAGAAAGGTGCGGTTGCTGCCAATTCCCATTTGGACACCCAGGAGCAGCCTAGCAACTTACCTGGATCTGAAAAATCTGAAGGATCTTTAATTAGAAATCCGATCTTTGGTGGCAGAGGGGTTTTTTAACCACGCAACAGTCGTCCTTCCTCCCCCCCCCCACTTTTAAAAGCAAGTCTTCCATAAATCATAAATAAGCCCATTTTCCACCATATTTTATTTGAAAGGAAATCAAAGCAGTAGTGATAAAACTAATTGTTCAGGTTTGTTTGTTTTTTTTACTTGGATTACATGGTGTGGGAGATTTTAAAAAATGGTTCCGGGATGATCTCTTCTCAGGTACCATCCTCAAATGAAGAAGAGCAGGAAGATTACCCCGTGCTGTCATGGCTCAGCAAAAGATGCAAGTGAATCTATCAAGACCTGACAAATTGATTTTGATCAAGAGCCCCTTTTACACACTCCTATGTCAGACAACCATAGAAGGCAGAACGATAGAAAGGAGCATTTGGACACTGAGAACCGGCAGAGTTCATCTGTAAGAAGTCCAGACACGGCTAGGATCAACTGTGCTTAAGAGAAGCTACTGGCTGTTGCTATTTCTGAAATGATCTGGCCAAGCAAGAGCCCCTTCAATGCTGCAGTGAGAGCCCAGTATCAATTCCTCTCATGATGTTCCCTCATCACTGGACTGTGTCCTGAAATCTAGATCTGGTCTATAGCTGGCTTTCTGTCTGTGCTTCTCCTGCTTGTCCTTCGAAGAAAGCCTTCATGTGTATAGATGGATTTATGTTCTAGAAGATAAGCCCAACATTTCAATGATGATAAACCCTTTTGTCTCTGAGGCCCAGACAGTTTTCAGAAGGTAGCAGCATCTGTTGTCTTCCCTAAAAAGAATTCACAGACAGAGGACTACAATTGGCACTCCTTTCTGTCAACATTCTCTGTGCCTTGATTTGTCAGTTTATTTATATCCAGCCTTCATTATTTTTACAAATAACTCAAGGCAGCCAACTTACAGATAGTCCTTGACTTACGACCACAATTGACCCCAAAATTTCTGTTGTAAAGTGAGACATTTGTTAAGTGAGTTTTGCCTCATTTTCTTTCCTTGCCACAATTGTTAAGTGAATCCCTGCAGATGATAAATTAGTAACCTGGTTGTTAAGTGAATGAATCTTTCCCATTGACTTTCCTTGTCAGAAGGTCTCAAAATGAGATCATGTGACCTGGGACACTGCAACTGTCATAAACATAAATTAGTTGCTAAGCATCTGGATTCTGATCACGTGACCTTGGAAATGTTGCAATGGTAGTAAGTGTGAAAAATGGTCATAAGTCACATTTCATAGTGCCATTGTAACTGAACAGTCACTAAACAATCTGTTGTAAGTCGAGGACTATTTGTATTCAGGGTTGGGCTAGGAGACAGCAACTGGCCCAAAGCCATCCAGCTGTTTATCATGGCTAAGGTGGGACTTGAATTCACAGTCTCTCGCTTTCTAGCCTGGTGCCTTAACCACTAGATCAAACTGGCACTGGTTGATGGGCTTCAGCAATCATGAGAGCTTCAGTGACAATACAAGCAGGCTAAGGTCTCTGAAAGATAGTCCCAGCCTTGATAATTACATTATAAAATGGACAGGGATCAGTGTAGCTATTTAGGCACTGAAAAATATGTCCTTACTATAGATAATCCTCAGGATACAACCCATTACTTAAGAACTGTTCAAAGTTATGACAGACCTCCCAAAAGCTACATACAACCCTGTTTCAAACATACAGTAGCTGTAGTGCCCCTTTGGTCATTCTCCCTTATGACCCATCACAGGGACACGGCAGTGCCCGTCCACCTCTCCATCCCACACCCCAAAAGAACCTCATAGCACTTGGGCCTGCTCCTCCTACCTCCTGGAAACAGCCACCATTTTCAGCGCTCTAACTTAATAACTGTTTTGCTTTTTTTGCTGCCTGTCTGACTGCCTTTAGGGTCCAGTTTCTGCTGTGACTGTTTGGTGCACATTTCTGCTGTAGCCACTTTCTCTTTAGAGCTGAACTTTTTCTTTAGCTCCTCAAGGCTGCAGAAAAAAATTCTCTGCTTGCTTCCTTCCTTTCCTCTGTCTTCAGCCTGGCAGTGACTCATCAAGGTGAGTAACTTACATATTTTGTCATCATCTTTCTAGGCATGCAATAAATTTAGCAAATGAAGAGGTTAAAAGGGATTGAGGGCAGAAGTGGAGAGTTTGATTTCGGCACCTAATTCAGTGGGGGAAGTCAACAAGTCTGTCTCTCCCAGCTCTTTTTGTTTTCTTTATTGAAGAAATATGGATTTCTGGAGCAGGAAGAGGATTAACTAAAATAAAGGTTTTGGAAAGGTTTTGCACGCAGGCAGTTAACATCCCCAAAGCTAGCAAGATCCAGAAGAGGTTTACAGTCTCCCAAAGGCCAGCTGATTGGGGTAGAGGTCCAGTCCGTAAGCATGGTTTCATCAGTCAAGCATGGTGGTTTATTCAGAAGCCTCTATAGCATTGGAATGCGGTGCTAGGCCCTAATCTAGCTGGGTTCTTTGCTGGGTGATTTTTGGTTTTGCAAAGCTTTTTACTGCTTATCTGCCTCCTTTATGGACCCAGTTTGATAGCAGGCCTGCCAGCACTTCCCCACCTAGCAGGTATTCCATGCTCATCAAATGTTTGTCTAATGGTGGCATCAAGGAGAGCAGAGGGTGGGGGTCATTAAGCAAGCCACTTAATGGTTGTCATCAATTACAACCATAATGGGTGGTCTCCATTATGGTCATAGGTTGAGAACTACCTGTATCCAGTTTCATTTATTCATCCAAATGACTCTTCCAAATTGGTCACTCGTATAATACTTTAGTATAGTGTATCCTGCAGGTTTCAAGATATGATCAACTACTATGGCAAGGCTAATTCTATTTAGACAAGGAAAGAAGCAATCCATCACTGTGCTATGAGAAGCCACATGGATCTTTAATAATAAAACTGGATAAATTTATATCCTAAACTGCAGATCATGATCTTTGAAAATGAATAAGATCCAAACAGGTTCATGATCATGATCAAAAGGAGGCAAAATCACACCCAGTATTAAAATCTGATCTTGAAAAATGGCTGTATGCAAATATTGAGTGTTTTGCTGTGTCCTTTAAACTAAAGTGATAGGAGAGGGGTAGGAGTAGATTTCACAGAACTTACACCCGATTTATTATGTAAGTTCAAAAGCTAAACTTTTGAACGTCAAAAAACTTTTTCCCATTCTCCCCTTTATTCCAGAAAACAAATCCCTCTCCCATTGGAATTTACACTTATATGGTAATTTCAGGTTGTAATACTGTGTGTGACCAGCCATACGCTAAATAAATAATTCAGGTTGTAGCTTTAAATCTAATTGGTACTTAATTAAAAATGGACCAGTACCATGATCAAGGTGAGGAACTTTGTTTCATTCATTTTTCCATTTATTTATACACATTTCAGTTTACATGGGGAACGTTTTACTTTGTCTCAAAGGCAAATTACAGATTCTGATTCCTCAGAATTCTCAGGCAGAATGTTGAGTACTCTCCACTGTCTGGTGCATAATGTTTAAAAATTGGAGGTAAAGATTCCAAAAAACATCAGTTAACTTAATAAGAGAAAATTTCATAGAAAGCCTGAGAAAATGTCAACTCACTTTGCAAAATGTTAACATTTGGTTAAAAAAAAGATTTTGCTCCATAGTTTAGTGCTATCTTTTGAACTGTTGTTTTTAATTTATCCATTCCAGATTGTTCATTTCGTTTTAATTTATCCATTCCAGACTACCGGTGTTCTTTTCTAGCACCCCAAATTATCTACCTGATAAAGAAAACCAAATACTACAGGTCAAATTCCCTTTGGAGCTGTACCGTCACAGACAGCCATGTTATTATGGTCTTCTTAGCATCTCAAAAAGAGGGGACAGCTTGGAAAAATTCAGAACATCTCCAGGTTTTTCTGTTATCTGGAAAATAGATATCTAGATTTCCAGTTCATCAAAAGTTCATTACCAGGAAAATGAAGAAAGCTTTGCCCTAGCAAATTCAAAGATAAGAAGGAACCTAGAAATGAAGAAAATCCTTTTTCTCTTTTAATAAACTAGGTTAGAAAGGCCCAGGGGCATCTGCAGGAGTGAGGATGTAGTCAAAATCTGCAAGATAGCAAGTACAATGTTCTAATCAATCCCCCACCCTGTTTATATATAGAATCACATACAGTACAAAACAAATGAGCATTGAGTTATGATTCTATGCTGCTGAAATTTTGTTTTGAAGTGTACTTGACTCTAAACAGTTTGACACATAGGTAATTTGCCCTTTAGCTCTCAAGTAGCGCAGAAGAAAGAATGTATCCCAGTTCACCCCTCAACTAACATAGTGCTTCACAACTATGGTTAAAAATAAAAATTCTACCAGAGTCATTGACTGAGATGAGTGGCCATAGAAATTGAACAAATAAATAAACGATACAAAGGTGACACATTTTTCCATATAATCTTTACCATTTATAGACTTTCAATCTAGAGATAACTGACTGCACTTCATGATCTTGGCCCTGGAGAATATGCAGAATATGGTTTCATAAAGATAAATAAATTGGCCATTTCTCATGAGACAATAGAATGTTTAATCTGTGTGCAGCTAAGAATGACAGGCATTGATAATACTTTGAAAAAAACCAAAGGTTCTAAGGAGTTCTAACTGTTACCAAGTTACCAGCAACATCAACCTGGTAAAGAAAAGAAAGAGAACAAAGAGTTGGACCAAAAATGGTAAGTTAACAATGCGGGGG